TTATTGAACGTTACCCTTATGAACTCATTCTTGGTATAGATTTTCTAGCCACACGTTCTGCCCTCATAGACTGTTCAGCTGGCTCTCCCCACCTCGATTTACTTCTCTTTTCCTACCAGACCAGCTTACCACAAACCAGCCTCTGCTGCATTGATTTCACGCACCTCCTGCTTAAGTCTGTCACACACGTCGACTTATCCTCCACGCCACCAGTACCTGACGGTGATTACATGGTGGCCCCGATTCCTGCCGTGATGATTACGCATGAGGTTGCTGTGCCACATATGATTTTGACAATTACGGGAAGCCGCACCTTCCTTCTGTCGGTCAACTCCTTACTCACCACCCAAGTTCTACGACAGGGTATCTTCCAGGCCAAAATTACCGTTCTCTAAGACGACCATGTCGAGCCCTTCAGAGTGGACAATTGCTGCAGCTCAGTCAGTGGTTCAACTTCATTACGTTCTTTGGGCGCTGACATCGAGTGAATGGCGTGAACGGACCTTGCGCCTGAGCAAGCCGCAGCGTTTTGCCACATTCTTGAGGGATATCATTGCATTTTCGCTTTTGCCAACACCTCTTTAAGCTAAACAACCGTCGTCACCCATCGCATCAATAATGGTCATGCGACTCCCATTCACTGACGCCCATACCGTGTTTTTGCGTCGGAGCGTGCACTTATACAAGAGGAAGTCTTAAAGATGCTTGAAAAAGACGTTATCAAGCCTTCATGCAGCCCCTGGGCTTCTCCTGTCGTCCTTGTTAAAGATAAGGATGGAACATTGTGCTTTTGCGTCGATTATCATCACCTCAGCAAAATTACAAAAAAGACCTCTGCCTCTCATCGATGACGCCCTCAACTGCCTGTACAGAGCTACTTATGTTTCAACTATGTTCAGGCTACTGGTAGATAGCCGTCGACGAGATGGATTGCGAGAAGACCGTATTCATCACTCTTGATGGTCTTTATCAGTTTAAGGTGATGCCCTTTGGTCTCTGCAATGCGACAGCCACATCTGAAAGAATGATGGACGCATTGCCCCAAGGGTTGAAATGATCCACCTGCTTGTGTTACTTTGACGATGTTACTGTCTTTCTGCCCGCATTCAACTCACATCTCAATCGTTTATCAGCTATTCTTAATGTTTTCCATCGAGCCGGACTCCAGTTGAACGCCTCCTAGTGCCACTTCGCTCGTCGTCAAATTTCTGTGCTTGGTCACCTTGTCGATGCCCAAGACGTGCGTCCAGACCCAGAGAAAATTCGCACAGTTACAAACTTTCCCGTTTCGAGGACCACAAAGGATGTCTGCAGTTTTGTGGGGTTGTGTTCCTATTTGAGACGCTTTGTTAAGGACTTTACGACCATTGCACGTCCCCTCATGGACTTTCTGAAGAAAGGCGCCTCGTTTTACCGGGGCCATGACCAAGCGTCATCGTTTTCCCAACTTACAACCCTGCTTGCAACGCCACCAGTCTTGGCCCACTTTGATCTATCAGCCCCATCCGAGGTTCGCACGGACGCCAGTGGACACGGCATAAGAGCTGTGCTGTTGCAGCACCAAGGGGGACACGACCGTGTTATAACCTATGCAAGTCGACTGCTATCTCGAGCCGAGCGCAACCATTTCATCACAGAGTGCGAGTGCCTCGCCCTTGTATGGGCGGTCACCAAGTTTCCTCCACACCTGTACGAGCACTCATTCTGTGTTGTCACAAATCACCGTGCACTTTGCTGGCTAGCCTCCCTGAAGGGCCCCACAGGACGTCTCGCTCGTTGGGCCCTATGGCTTCAAGAATACAGTTTTCTATATTGTATAAAACAGGGCGATTACATCGGGATGCGGATTATTTATCTCGCTACCCTGTGGACGAAGCAACCGATACTGACGTTATCGCAGACGTTTTTTCTGTGTCGCAGCTGCTGAACATTGGCGAAGAGCAAGGTCGGGATGCTTCTTTACGAGCCATCATTGATAAACTGGAGTCAACGCCTCACGACCCGTCCCTACGAATGTTTTTGGCCAAATATGGGATCCTACACCGCCGTAACCTTGATTCTTTCGGATCTGACTTACTTCCTGTCATCCCAGCGCACCTGAGTTCCACTGTCCTCTACCAACTTCATGATGCTCTCTTGATGAGCCATTTGGGCATTTCTCGTACATACGACCGTGTACGTCGTTTGTTTTTGTTTGTTTGTTTTTTTTTTTTTTTTTTTTTAATGACCCGGACTTGCTCGCTCTGTTTTACGCTATGTCGCCGCGTGTGAGCCCTGCCAGCGTCACAAAACGCCATCTGCCCTTCGAGCTGGCTACCTTTAGCCAATCGACGTTCCCGCTGAACCTTTCTTTCGAGTTGGTCTCAACCTGCTGGGAACTTTTCCACTCTCCACAGCTGGAAATAAATGAATTGCTGTTGCCACTGACTATGCGACGCGTTACGCAATCACACGAGCACTCTCGATCAGCTGTGCTACCGGCGTTGCGGACTTTCTGTTGTACGACATAATATTAGTACACAGAGCTCCCCTCCAACTTCTCACGCACCGTGGCCGCATCTCAGCTGTCGTTCACGAAATCCTGAGGTCTTGCCATACCAAGCGCAAATTTACTACTTCGTACCATCTCCAGTCAAATGGCCTCGCAGAGCGCCTCAACAGGACCCTAACGAATATGCTTGCCAAATACGTTGCGCCAGACCACCAGGATTGGGACATTCGCCTACAACTCATCCCGTCACAACACTGCCGGCTATTCGCCCTTCTGTCTCCTATATGGCTGGGACCCAACTCTACCCTTAGACACTTTGCTACCTGCGGCCACTGAATATGCCGGGGAAGCCATCGCCCACGCCGCCCACACGCTCCAAGTCCCCCGTAATTGTCTACAGGCCTCACAGGCGCACCAACGACAGCTCTATGATTCTCACCATAGGGACGTGCACTTTTCCCCGGGTTCTCTCGTGCTCCTCTGGTCACCCACTCGGCGTGTGGGACTATCTGAGAAACTGTTGTCGCCCTACACTGGACCATTCTGTATCGTTCGCCAAGTGACAGACGTCATGTACGAGATTGTCCCTACCGATACAACAAAGTCATCGTCAGCTCCGACCGACACCGTTCACGTGGCTCGGCTAAAGCCCTATTACCCACCTTCGACATCATCTGCGTAAATTACGCACTGGGACGGTGCTTCCACCGCCGAGTTATGATACATAACAGCCGTTATAACGCGGATGCATGAAAGAAGAGGACAAAGTTAGTTTTTGGTTGATGCTGGACTGGCACCATCTTGCTCGTCGAGTTCTGTGCATTGTGAATAGATTATTAAAGAAGTTACTCGTAACATTATAGATAGCCACATAGGTGTATAGAATGTTATTTCATGAAGTACAATTTTATTCAATCAGTATCCTGTTCATTTGCTACGAAAATCATCACTGCAAAAGTTTTTTCGGAATGGCCACCATAATGACGCCGATATTTTGCATCATTAATTAAAAATAGGGAATGCTCCTAAGATGACTGGCGTCATGAAATTTGAAATTAGTGGAAATATTTCTAGCTCTTCACCGGATACAAGAGCCCCAAAATAATTATTCATGCGCTTGAATGTAAATGAAACTTGTTTCTCCTCCAGTATGTGAAGTTAGCTGCTCCAGATTGCTCCAAAATGGAAAATCTTGCTTCTCCAAAATGAATATTTTGCTGCTGCAATGGGCTCAAAGATTGAAGCTTGTGCTGCTCCATAGTGCTCCGAAATGAAAATTTGGCTGCTCCGAAAATTGGTCCTAGTCAGAAGACTTTGGTGGGATCACTGCATTTAAAGTATATAAAGTACGCATGCTGGTTATTTGTTACACCCTCCGTTGTCTGCGGCGTGTGTGTGCAAGACAGTGAAAGTGAACTGCCAGTAGAGCTTGCCAGGATCAACGCTGACACTTGGGCACGTGCGGGGCACGTGCGAGCTGCGCGGGACAAGAAAAAAAGACGAGGTGCCGATTTCTGAAAAAGTGAAGGTGTTCTTGCCATAGAGTTTTCTGAAATTATCTAGAGGGGACCCTGGCGCTGCGATTGTTCAGCGACCATGGGAATGATGGGTAGTACACAGATTTGCCGAGTCTGCTTTCTTGCGGGCGGCGAATCGTACTTGTGGCTTCGTTTATTGCTGTGTTTCGCTTTTGTTGAAAAGAAAAGAACAAATCCTTTTGAACTTCATGACCCGATTTGAAATGGGAAGCCTAAAAGAACAAGGTGGTGACGCACAACGGCTTAACGTCTGCTTATTTTTGTTTCACGAGAAAACGACTCCAAGCCACACGAACACACACGGAGCCAGAAGTACGAAGATTAGACAAATCTATGTACTACTCATCATTCCCATGTTTGCTGAAGTGTCGTGCATTGCAACTTCCATAGACACTAGTGCCAGAGTTCCCGTATATTTAAAAAACTCTATTGTTCTTGCTGTGGACTCAGACATTTTTTTCCAACTTGTTTGTTTGCAGTGCACAAGTTTGCCCATTTTAGCTATTGAATCAAAGTGTACTTCTTCAACTGTGCCTGACAACATGATAAAACACTGTACAGAAAACGAAAAAAAGCATCTGTTACACATTTTGCAAAATTGAAGGTAAGGGACGCGCACAACAATGTGTAACTACGGCATTGTTAATTAATCAAGTCGAAGGGCAGACATCTTTGGTATAGGGCACCATAAGTACACAGAGTCAAATGCTTTGGCAAAATCTGAGAGTGTGCATCGATATTTATTGCCATTTGTGCTCCTGTCTAAGTTAGTCACAAATTTCAAATTACTGGGTTCCACAAGACAGGCTATTCGTAAATTGCTTCTGGTTAGTCAACATGGCAATAAATGTGAGAAGAAATTATAAATTTCTTGAGTTTATGGCCTGTGCTCCGTGCACAAGCATTGCAGTGATGAAAATGCAGACATTCCTTTCCATGTTAGTGAATGCTGCACATTTGTTGTCTTGCAGATTCCCGACACCAGCCATGCCAGAGTTGCAGCACTGGAACCAGCGGTAAAGAACAGGGCTGCTGAGACGGCTCCAGCAAAGGTCGAGCTAGCAGAGCTTGCACTGTGAGGAGCCCTTTTTTCTTAATTTTGTCATCTTTAACCCTCTAATGCCTGAATTACGAAACTGCCAAACAACATAAATATTGTGTTCAGTTTCCAGCTTTAAGTAGTGTGATCACCTTGCTACTCATCTAACGAAATATCACCGTAGGTTCAGGCTTAGCGAGCCACAGGGCCGTGTCCCTGTCACCAGCTCACGTGTAGCACATCGCTCCGCGCGCGCTGTTGCGAACGACGGACCGATCCCGCCGAAGCCACCACTGTTGCGAAAGACGGCGACGCCAACACGGCCTCGAAGGCGCCACTGCTTTCAACTTCGCCGGGAAGGTCACCAGCCGTTTGGTAGCGTATGTTTCCCAGCTCGCGACTGCTTCTGCGCAGAGCTGATAAGACGAGCGGACGAGACGACGGTGAGTTAAACAAGGTTTATGTACAGCATATATACAGAGGCGTTACAATTTCGGCACTGGGGCCGACAGAGACTCGAAGAGCCGAGCTCTCCTCTCTAACACATAGGTCAACTTTTCGCCTAAGACCGCCGACTCACACACATGTCGGCTCTCCGACATGGGGACTCCTCTCTCATAGGACTGCCGATCGCGACACGCCGCAGGGCTTCTTTTAAAGGCACCGGGTCCAACCAAAATGTCCAATTAGAAGCGCCGCTGGTCGTCAGGGCAGATTCCTTCAATGGGGTCGCCGCGCAATGCGTCAGACCACCAGACACGAGGACGCCGGCTCGCTGTCACGTGCGCCGCTGACTCAATGCACGTGGGCCAGGGAGGCGCCGCGCGTGTTCACGCCGTCGAGTTGTTCCCGTCAGGCGGACTGCGGGCTGGCCTTGACCCAGATTGCCTTTTTCAGAGGCACGAACGTTTGACGTGGACTTGCTGGCATAACAGCACCCCCGCCGCCAGACAATGCACCGGAAAGACGAGCTGCTTCCACGGGGCTCGGATGTCAGGTGCGCTCGTTCGCCAGGTCCCTCCAGGTTCGTCTCCAGGGCCATGGGGAGAATACCGCTCCAGACTGTTCCGGAAACACATCCCATTTTTGACGACGGATCCCAGCTCCACTGGCTTGTCGCCACAATTTGCTGGCCAACTTCGCTCGTCTCTTCTGACCATCTTCGGTTTCAGCACTTGACAATGGTTCTGCAGCTTGCTAAGAACGGTTCGACAACAAACAACACACGACACAAGCAAGTGCCCTCTGTCACCCGACAGAACACCAGACAAAGTATAGTACAACATATACCTATCTACGTGTCTATCGGAATTTTGTTCCCTCTACATCAAGAGGCACATGTGGGACACAAGACTCTTAAAGTAAGAACTTGAATTTTTCACAATTACAACAACACAACGAATTAGAATACCACATAAAGTTGGCCCCTTGAGATCACTCTGAACGAGAGCGCTCGGCCCAGGTCGTGATGAGGTCAAAATTTTCCCCCGAATCACCCGCGAGAAACCGAAAAGTTGAGAAGGTACTAGCTAGAACGCACTGCTCAATGCACCTGCATTAGCGTTTAGCTTTCCCCTTTTTTTTTTTTTCTAGCGAACGTCAAAGTTGCGCTGTGGAGCAACATGCTCCATCTCAGTAACCGGCCACTTTTAGGCGACGATACCTATGCGGCACCCAGAGCGGCTCACACTTGCGAGGTTGCACAGGGGAACAACGATACGGCTTGCTACGGATTGACTCCTCACCGCTTAGCTCGATATCGTGTTTGATCACCCTCGTGTTTCCGGGGCGGTCCGAAAACACGTCTTCAAACTCGGAACCAATCTTTCTCACGTCCTCTTTCTCGGGTCCTCCTTCACTTAAGCTAGGCTCTAGGTTTATCTGCTCCCGGATTACTTTCGATCCCCCTTCAATTACCTCACTAGAACTCAAAATTTCTGCTTCCTCTTCCTTTGAAGCATTCAACAACAGATTTACGACCGCTTGATGTTGAACGTATGGTTTCATCAAGTTGTAAATTTTGTCCGGCCGCCTTCCTAATTTCACTTCATAATTTGTATCGCAAGGCTTCGATAATACTTTGGCGGGCCCTTCCCAATCAACCTCAAGCTTGTTCTTTTTGGACGGCTGCAGCAGCATTACCTGATTGTCAACTTCAAAAGCGCGTTTCTTCACCGATTTCTCGTAGAGCTCCTTTGACAGCACTTGTGCCGCGTTTTTGTGGCTTTCCACTAGCGTTTCAATCGAGAGGTCCTCACGCTGCTCTCGAATGAGCGTCTCTCGATCAACTCTCGGCAGCTCGCTCCAACTTTCCGCTACAGGCGAGAGCGTTGCAACCCTCTCGCTCTGACTCAATGGCGCCATGTCGTCTCCCCCTACGCATACCTCGCCGGCCGCTTCCGCGACGGGCCGCTCGCGTGACCGCTCACATGACTCATGCGGAAAATTTCCTTTCTGGGGTTCCGTCGACCCGCCGACAAGGTCACTTGAGAGTTCACTGCATTGAACTAGATCAAGCTGCCGCGATAGCTTCCGCGCTTGCGATCGCGTGAGGGCCATGCACGCTAAGTTGGGGAAGAACGATTTGCCCTGCTCTTTGAGAAGCTGCTCCGAGTTGTTGGAGAAAAGATAGGGAAAACGATCGTTTAGCGCGGCAGACACAGCCGCTTCGGTGCGAAGCTTACCGAACGGGCCTTCAATGACAACGGTGGCGATTGGTAAGCGAACACTCTGCTCCTCGGCGACTTGCCTGATCCACGCGCATTCTCCTGTAAAGTCATCCGGAGACACCAATGAAGGATGGACAGCGTCCATGGTTGCCGCTGAGTCTCGAAGTGCTTGGCACGTTTTCTCATTCACCCTAATTTCTTGGAGATACGGCTCCAACAACCGCATGTTTTTTTCTGATTCTCGGATTGTTGCGAAGGCAAACTTTTCCTGACAGTTTCTCGCGATGTGTCCTTCCTTTTTGCAGTTGTAGCAGATTAGCGGCTTCCGTTTGTTTTCTGATTCAAATGCCTGTGTGGTAGAAACCTCACTCGATTTCTCCGCTTCTGTTTGCCCTTCCCCTACACTGTCCTTCGTAAGACACGGGTCCTTCTTGAAATTACGGTGCGGAGCGGGTCTCCGTTGATCAGGTTTCTTTGAAAAGCCCTCTTTTCTCTCATCTTTTTCAACGCGCACTGCCCTGCTGTGCAACTTTCGGCGAGTATAATACTCCTCAGCTAACTCTGCTGCCTTGTTTAGCTGTACTTCACCAAGTCTGTCCTGCAGCCAAAGCCTGACATTATCCTCGATGCAGCGGTAGAATTGCTCCAATGCAACGCATTCCACCACTCTATCGCGGTCGTCATAAACACCTTCGCCCTTGAGCCATTCAATTAAATCGGCTTTAAGACGAAACGCGAAGTCAACGTGTGACTCATTCCCCTTTTCAGCATACCGGAACCTTTGCCTGAAAGCCTCGGGTGACAACTTATAACGTCTCAAGAGCACTTCCTTAACCTCGTCATAGCTCTCAAACGCTTCCCTCAACAAGCAAGTTATCGCGTCGGACACTTCGCCGGGAAGAAGAGCTAACAGGTTCTGCGCCCAAAGAGACCGCTCCAAAGCGTTTCGCTCACAGACGTGTTCAAACTTGACGAGATACTTCGCCATGTCCTCGCCTACTACGAACGGTGGCAGTTGGTCCCGAATTCTAAAACCGCTGACCTGAACTGTTGGAGAAGCTACGCTAGGCGCCTGCGAACACTGTAGGATTGCCAATTCTAGTCGTTTCAACTCGAGACGCTCCTGTCTCTCGGCCTCCTCGCGACGTTCGCGCCTTTCAGCTTCTTCACGTTCGCGAGCTTCGCGCCTTTCAGCTTCTTCGCGAGCTTCGCGCCTTTCAGCCTCCACACGTTCGCGAGCTTCTACTTCTCGCCTTTCAGCCTCCTCACGGCATGCTTTAATATCCACCCAGGCCTCATCGACTTCCTCAGCCGACACTCCCTCATCCTTCATGATCGCAAGGATCGCTTGCTTTCGTTTCGCACGGCCCAAAGTAATGCCGAGTTCCTCACAAATTTCGATGAGTTCCTTCACTTTAAGGTTCTCCATCGTTCACACTAGCCTCTTGCTGTTTGCCCCTGTTAAGAATCTACTTGCCGTACCCACTATAAGCCTACTAGCAAGACGCGCAAGCAATTTTTCACACTCCCGTGTTTACCCCCTCCGCATTAACTTTGGTTTCAAAGCACTTCGACTTTGCTTGAAACGATCAAAGCTCACTCTAATGCTTCACACAGCCCTTCTCTAAACTACTACAACCTGAGCTAGAGTAGTCTGGTGAACTGAGGGGAAAACATCAGGCACTCACCGCATCGATGTCGCTGACGCCGGCCGATCCCGCAGCTGCCAACCACTGTTGCGAACGACGGACCGATCCCGCCGAAGCCACCACTGTTGCGAAAGACGGCGACGCCAACACGGCCTCGAAGGCGCCACTGCTTTCAACTTCGCCGGGAAGGTCACCAGCCGTTTGGTAGCGTATGTTTCCCAGCTCGCGGCTGCTTCTGCGCAGAGCTGATAAGACGAGCGGACGAGACGACGGTGAGTTAAACAAGGTTTATGTACAGCATATATACAGAGGCGTTACAATTTCGGCACTGGGGCCGACAGAGACTCGAAGAGCCGAGCTCTCCTCTCTAACACATAGGTCAACTTTTCGCCTAAGACCGCCGACTCACACACATGTCGGCTCTCCGACATGGGGACTCCTCTCTCATAGGACTGCCGATCGCGACACGCCGCAGGGCTTCTTTTAAAGGCACCGGGTCCAACCAAAATGTCCAATTAGAAGCGCCGCTGGTCGTCAGTGCAGATTCCTCCAATGGGGTCGCCGCGCAATGCGTCAGACCACCAGACACGAGGACGCCGGCTCGCTGTCACGTGCGCCGCTGACTCAATGCACGTGGGCCAGGGAGGCGCCGCGCGTGTTCACGCCGTCGAGTTGTTCCCGTCAGGCGGACTGCGGGCTGGCCTTGACCCAGATTGCC